TCTTGATGGATCTTGAATTATCCTTCCTTGGCTTATCTTGGACTCTTGGCCTTATCCTAGGAGCTGCCGCCCCTAGGAGTGAGATGGGCCTTGGGATGGGCCTCCATCAAGAGGACTATAAAGTAAATCTTCAATCTCATTTTTTCTTTCTTTCTTTATTTATTTGGCCAACTAGTTGATGCATAGGCATAGCATCAACAAGAGAGGCCAAAATGACTAGTCATCGTTTAATTGCATTGACAATATTGTTGTGATTAGGTTAGTTTGACAAAAGTTGCGAGGGAGAAGAGAAAAAAATAAGAATGAAATTGGGAAAATGTGGAATAGGCTTCATGCCTCCTATTGTCTACTCTTTATTTTATCGTAATAATATAGAAAGTTACAATAGCTACCCTTGCTATACTGTTGCACAATTCATCCTTGATATATAGACATAATAACTCCGAAAACAATATTTAACACCTTTTACCACTCTAGGATATGTCTTTACTAGAGGAGGATATGTGGAACTGTCAAAAAAGCTTTCACTTCCACTAGGTCGCACTCTTGACAGGTATGTCTACATTCATGAATTTATCCATTTATATCTGTAGTATGAAGCTGGTATATCTTCCATTTATTTATAAACGCAACATTAAAAACCCTGCCATGCTTTCTATAACATTAATATATCTGAAATGGTTAGGTATGATGGTTTAGTCCTCTCTTTCGGTGGAAATGGAAGATCATTTGTTTTAATTCTTGAAGCTGGTCCTTCAGCAGATACTACTCAAAGCAAGATGTATTTTGCCAGAATTAGCACAAAAGTGGGCTTCTGTAGGGTGAGGATTTGTTTCCCAGAAAATTATAACTTTCGGTTCAGTTAGTGGCATCATTAATAGGGAAGTATGAAATCTAATTCTTCATTTTCTTTCTGCATTTTTCAGGTCAGAGTGCCATTTTCGTCCTTTCGCCCTGTGAAACCAGATGATCCACCACTAGATCCATTTCTTGTTCATACTTTAACTGTACGTTTTGAGCCAAGAAGACAGGTTTGTAGAATACTTGACTGATCTGCAAAACATAGGACTAGAAATCATTTCAAAAGTCCATATGTTCTTTTCTTATGAAGTCATCAAATGATTATTCACCTTTTTGTAAACATTTATTTTTCTTCTGAAAAAAAAAACAAGTATTTCTTGGCATTCAAGGGGAAGAGCATTTCATTCAGTCTATTATGATGCTATTTTTATTCATTCATTTGTATAAATTTAGAGATAACCCAGTAAGGTTGGCCTTGGAAATTTCACAATGAAATGCAAACATGGATGGTTCTGACATTGAGTCACATAAGTAGATAGTTTTACTTGTTATGAAAAGAATATCCATCAGAACTCTAGTTTGAAGGTTAGATTGACTCTATCAGATTCTTCTGATTTTATTACACTCTTTCTTCAGAAACCTACTGAAGGACCTATGGGAACCAAGCAAGATCTCAGAAGCTTTAAACTGATATTGGAATATATAAAAGCATTGCCAGTAAGTGTTACATTATGCTTTCCATTATATTGTTGTTTGATGATAATTATTAACTGTTATATTTTTGTAAGATCATTTTTGTCTCAGATTAATTCATTACTTGTTTGAATTAGTGCATCTGTATGGATTATTGATGCCAAAATTTGGAACAGAATGTCTCTTTCTTTTCATTTGGCCTATCGATAATTTGTACTAGGTAAATACGTACAAGTTCATTCTCCACTAGGTCAGTCAGGTGGTATATCATGTGAGTTTCAAACTAGACATTCTCTCTCTCTCTCTCTCTCTCTCTCCTTTGATTTTGTTGGACCAGTAAAGGTAATAGGGTTATAAGATTTTATAAAGTATTTTGAATCATTGGGTTGTTGGAAGAAGGGCTGAATGGGTCTGGTTTTAGGAATTATACAGTTTAATGTAAGCTTTCTGCAGTAGTTCTTCTGGGAACATTGTAGGATTAATCAAGTAAAGTCCTATTTATTTTACTGTGATAAAAACTTCATGGCCTACCAGATAAATAGAGTGGTTATTGTTTGGTTGATTCTGATAGTCAGGGTGTTAAGATCGTCTACCCTAGCTAAAGGCAAATCTTTTGGTAATCATCCTGGAGTTGTAGGCGGAATTGGTGATGGTCCCAATTTCTAAATAGCAATTGTTAAGTCGCATGGAACCAATTTCCTAACCGTAACTGTAGGCAAATCTTTTGGTAATCATCCTGGAGTTGTAGGCGGAATTGGTGATGGTCCCAATTTCTAAATAGCAATTGTTAAGTCGCATGGAACCAATTTCCTAGCAAGTTCCCAGCCCATCAAAATCTATTTGAGCAGAAAGAGGAACTTAGGTTATCTCACTGGGAGAATTCAAAAACCAAGTACTGCACATACAACTTATGAGAAGTAGGAGCATGAAAATCTAATAATTATTGTCTTGGATACTAAATTCTATGTGACCTTAGATTAGCAGGGATCTTCTTTTCTTTGACATGGATGCTTAGATTTGGGAGAAAGTGACTTATACCCACTTGTAGAGAAAGAATGTTGCAAGGATCTATTAGCTTCAGAAGGAGATTATATCCTTTTATTAGTGGGAAATGAGCCTTGATACATATTTTTCTACTTTACAAGACATGTTGGAGGAATCTGATCACTGTCAAGTCCTAATATGGTATGATCAGAGGGATGTGGAATATCAGATCTTGCCATCGTAAGATAAATAAAAGGAAGGAATAGGTGGAGATAAACAAGAGGAAGGAATACCTACAGATTCCAAAGAGGAAGATTCTTGCAGTGGAGGTATAAGGGACTATATCTTTGGTTGGACATTTTGCTTTTTCCTTTGATACACCAATCTTCTCCCAAATAGAGGGTTGATCAAGAAAGAATGATAGATTAACATCAAAATGATGTAATAAGAGAAATTCTCAAGAAACACAGCATGTCAGTAGATGTGGATATGTTGATGAAGAGTTGGATCATAATACATGTTCTTTATTATCTATAACCTACGAAGGCACAATTGGCTGCATATGGAGACAGATTTGTCTTCTCATGTTGCGGTAGATGAACAAAAAATAATGCAACCAAAAACATACGAGATGGAGTTGCTAGTAATATGGTGGTAAAGAAATACAAATGGTGATGTATGGTTAAAAACAAAGATAGAAGATGATTAATTAGATAAACAATAATGAATATAAATTTAACCTAGAATGTTTTAGTAGCCTAAAAAATCTTGTAGTAGTGCATCTGCAACCTCTAAAATGTGCTTGTTCTTCCCTTTCAATAACTCATTTTGGTGTGGTAAGAGAGCGATGGTGTAATCCCAAAGTTTTCAAGGTAATGTTTAAACACGGAATCAATGTATTATCCCCATGAATTGTAGTGTAAGCTTTTAGCAAAGAATGAATTTCAACTATAGCCTGGTCCAAAAATAATAAAACACTATTTATTTATTTATTTTTGAATAAATCCAAGTATATTTCATCAATAAATAAAACAAGGTATTTGAGTCTAACTAAAAAAGTGGTGGGCCCTAAACATCACTATGTTCAGTATAAATGGAGCAGAAGACACACTAAAATGCAATGGAAAGGTAATTATTTCTCTTACTGATGCATGTGGTTATAAGAAAATTTTAAGCAAGTCTCAGAGAAAGAAAGTGAAAAAAAGGGGTCAGATGGTAGACCTACAAAATGCATCATAAACTAGAAAAGAATTGACTCATTGGACATTCAAACCTTGTTTGAATTTACCAAAATTTGATGACAATAGACTTATAGTCAAATTCTACAAATTGGCTAATGGACCTCGCTGGAATTTATATTGGTTCCTCTGATTACTATTTATAGTAAGATTCATAATTATTATTTATAGTAAAATCACGATGTACTATTTTTAGTAATTTTTGATTCTTTATATTAAGTTAGTTTCAGTAGAATTAGAAAGTCATAAAAATGTTCTAGTTTGAAAAGGTAGTTTCTACTTCTTTGGAAGTTTGAATACAGTTAAAAGTTTAGTGAGTTGTGTCGAGAATGCTTGGTGTGTTACTGTTCACACCAAGAGATTTTTCATTAATCATCTTGAGCAAAATTACAAAGGGTCACTTGAATAGGCTCCCAAATATAAACATACATAAAAGGACAAATTCCCTTGTATCTCAACACTCCCCCTCAAGTTGAGCATAGATATTTGTCATGTCCAGCTTGTTCAAATTATTGTCGAGCTTTGATTTGGGGACACCTTTAGTAAGACAATCAGCCAATTGATCTTCAAGCCTCACAAAAGGTAAACAGATCTCTCCACTAGAAACTCTTTTTCTAATGAAATGTCGATCAACCTCTATATGCTTTGTACGATCATGTTGAACAGGATTGTGGGCTATGTTTATGGTAGCTTGATTATCACAATATAATATCATTGGAGTTTTAATATGCACTCCCATTTCTGTCAACAAGTTCTTCAGCCACAACAATTCTGAGACTCCATGTACCATAGCTCTGTACTCTTCCTTTGCACTAAATCGAGCCACAACTGATTGCTTCTTACTTCTCCAAGATACAACATTACCACCCACCAAGGTACAATAGCCAAAAGTAGACCACCTATCATCAATAGAACCTTCCCCATTAGCATCAAAATAGGCCTCAACCTTTAGATTCCCATGACTAGAATACAACATCCCCTTTCCTAGACATCCCTTCAAATAGGCAAGTATTCCATTCATTGCTTGCATATCAGATGATCTGGGCTTGTCCATGTATTGGCTGACCACACTCACAGCATATGATATATTTGGTCTAGTTAGACACAAGTAGAGAAGGCGACCAACAAGTCTTTGATATACACCTTTGTTAGGAAGGACATCTCCATCATCAACTCCCAAGTCCCAACTTTTGATTGGAATCAATTGGAGTTTCAGCTAGTTTACAATCCAATTTTCCTACCTCTTGAAGTAGATCGAGGACATATTTCCTCTGAGAAATATAAATGCCCCTCTTTGACCTTGTAACCTCAATCCTTAGGAAATACCGGAGATTTCCAAGATCCTTAATTTTGAATTCAGTAGTAAGGAAAGACTTTAGTTCAGCAATCCCATAGATGTCATCCCCTGTGATAACAATATCAACTGACAACATCAGTTGTAGGAATCAACATACAAAAAGGAGTCCAATCTTCACTAACACTCTCCCCCTGGAGAGAAGGACAAGAGACAGAGAAGAAGGGAGTATCAAAGAATGTGACATCTTTGGACACATACCTTTTTTCTAGAACAAGAATTATAACAACACCACCCTTTTTGGACTGAAAAATATCCTAAGAAGACACACTTGATAAACTTTGGATCAAATTTCAACCTAGAAGGACTCATGGCATGGACAAAGCAGACACACCTAAAAACTTTGGGAGGAAGATGGAAGGTATCCTCATTAGGAAAAAAGATGGAAGGTATCCTCATTAGGAAAAAGAAGATGATGAGGAGATTGGAGATGAAGGGTTTCCGAGGGAAGTCTGTTAATAAGATATACAATTGTTTGAGCAGCATCCCCCCAAAATTGAGTTGGGACATGCATATGGAATAACAAGCCTCTGGCAACTTCAATCACATGTTTGTTTTTCCTCTCTAATACCACACTTTGTTGGGGAGTACGAGGGTAGGAACTCTGGTGAATCACTCCTTTCTCTTCAAGGAATGTTTGTAAGTGCTTCTCAAAGTACTCCTTGGCATTGTTAGATCTTATAATCTTGATATTCTTCTCAAATTGTGTCTCCACCATACTAAAGAAGCCTTTTACAATTGAAGGAACTTCGTCTCGGCTCTTCATCAAATACAACCAAGTATACCATTAGTAATCATCAACAAAGAGAATGAAATATTTATAGCCACCTATACATGGAATAGAATAAGGTCCCCAAACATCAGTATGTATTAAATGAAAAGCAGCATTGCTTCTTTTGTTACTTGCAAAATATGTGGTTCTACATTGCTTTGATAGTTGTCAGACTTCACATTGTAGACCAGAACTAGACAAGGACTCAAATAGACTAGGAAACAAAAACTTTAAAGAACCAAAAGACGCATGCCCAAGATGGTGATGCTACAATTTCAATTGACTTAGTTTCTCATCATGAGAGGACTTAGATTGACACATCAATCCTAAATTTGGAGACTGATCAAGAAGATAAACTCCATCAACTTCATGTCCATTGCCAATCGCCTTCCCCATACTTAGGTCCTAAAAGACACAATGAGATGGAAAGAAGGTTACAAACAAATTATGAGACTTTGTAAGAGAACTAACAGATAAGAGATTTCTATGCAATTGTGGAACATGGAGTACAGATAAGAGATTTCTATCCAACAGTAGATGAACTCTCAAACACCTTTCCCACAAGGTTAGACACGAACTACAACAGTAAAACCTGGAAAAATAGGTACTAGTGAAAAAACAGGGGAAGGAAAAAATTTCCCAAAAATGTTTTAGGGCTCCAAAAAATCCGGGACTACTTACTGCAGTCCCAGGGGTTTACCACAACTCAAACACAAGAGGTTTCAATAGAAACCACCCCACCATACGAGCATGCAAGCCCTAAACTCTAGATCTGTATTTTTTGCCCATTTTCATCCAAAAAATCCAAGAAAAATCTAAAACAGCTTCAAACCACCATGAAACCTATACCAAAATTCCCCTAAAATCAGGGTGAATCAACAAGCATTAAAAACCCATAATGATGTCTTTGGCTGTACGGAAGCTGACATCAACCAGTGGCGTATTGACATTAGCAGGCCTGTTTGTGAGTCGTGGCTAACAGTAGATGGTTTCCTTGATCATACAACTCTCTGTTACCAAGTTAAAAGTTTAATTGTGTTGAGAATGCTTGGTATGTTACTGTTCACACCAAGAGACTTTTCATTAATCCTCTTGAACAAAATTACAAAGGGTCCCTTGAATAGGTGCTCAAATAAAAACATGCATAAAAGGACATAAATGTCCTTACACTCTCAATAAATACAAATAACAGTTAAGAGTAAATTTGGAAGTTGTTTTAGGTCTATAAAAGGGTGTCAATAGATTCTGTAGGGAGCACTCGTATATTATTTTATTAAATTGGTTTCTTGTCCAGCTAAGGAGGGCAAACAAAAAGCTTGAGCGTATGGACTGTTAGACAACAAATGAGGGAAATACTTTACCTAGAAAGGAAAGCTGGAGTAACATTCAAGTGGGTAAGATCTAGCCAATACTGTGGCTGATATGATGGCAAAGCAGGGGACCTTCAGGGAAAACCTTTTTTGTTCTATGCTGTAAGGTTTAATATTGGATGGGGCCAACACTCATACTCCAAGTGGTTGACAGTGTACATGATTAACTATCAAGTCTAATGAAAGTTACTGTAGTCATTGAAGAAAAGGTGGAGAAGCAACTTTATATTCCCAGTAAAGTTCAGCCACTACTAGAAGAATACAAGGAAGTTATGGACATTGACTGATGGATTGCCCCCTATAAGGAGTATCCAACACCACATTGACTTAGTTCCCAGTGTTAGTTTACCCCACTTGCCACATTATAAGATGAGTCCTAGGAAGCATAAAGAGTTGCCGAGATAGGTTGATGAACTACTAAGAAAGGGATTTATTCAAGGATCAATGAATAAATGTGCTCTACCTGCCTTGTTGATGCCAAATAAGGATGGATCATGGATAATATTTGCAGAAGTTGTGTCATCAACAAAATACTTACCTCAATTAGATGATATGTTCGACTTGCTTCACGATGCTAAGGTGTTTCCCAAGATTGATTTGAAAAGTGTTATGCATCTTTTAAGATGCAAGATGGTCTTTATGAGCGCCCTTCTAAAGAAGTTCATATATAAAAATCTGGGGAAGATATTAAAGACTCTACAACAAGAACTACTTTATGAAAACATGAAAAAGTGTCATCTTCTAACAGATTGGCTGCTGTTTTGGGGATTGTGGGTTCAGTTGGCATACGTGTTTATGACAGTAAGGTGGTAACAATTAATAGTTGGCCTACACCCACTGCTATTTGATAAGTGCAAACTTTCATGGTCCAACATCATTCTATAGGTGCTTCATCAAAGATTTCAGTACCATAAAGAAAGGAAAGTTTACATGGAGGAAAGAAGTAGAAAAGAGCTTCTATATGCTTAAGGAGAAGCCATTCACAACACCAGTTTTGGCTATGCCATGTTTTGGGAAGCTGTTTGAGCCTGAGGTGGAATGTGATGCATCTAGTGTTGGTATAGGAACAATTCTCGACCAAGAACAAAGGCTTGTGTCTTATTATAGTGAATAACATTATGAAGCACAAAGGAGATACAACACTTATGACTAGGAGTTGTATGAAATGGTACAAGAACTTCAACATTGGTATAACCCTTACCAATCCCAACAGCACCATATGAAGATGTAAGCATGGAGCCATGGGCCTTGTGCTTGGATTGCCAAGATAAGAGGTATATATTCTTGTGGTGGTTTGATAGGTTTTCTAAAATGACACATTTCATCTGTTGTAAGAGTATAGGTTGATAACTCATGGAGTACCCAAACTTCTGTAGTTGAAAACCTTTTTAGTTGAATTAGGAGTTATTTTTGATAGTCCCATGAAGCTGTTTTGTGATAATCTTGCACCATTAAAATTGTCAACTATCCAATTCAGAATGGTTGTAAAAAGCATATAGAAGTTGACAGGCATTTTATACATGAATAGGTAACTAATGGAGAGATCTAACTACTGTCTATGAAGTCAGGTGACCAGCTATCTGATTGTTTGACTAAGGCATGCCTCGATTTAGTTGGAAGTTAACTTATGCAAACTAGGCATGCATAATATCTACATGTAGCTTGAGGGAGAGTGTTTAGAGGCATCAACGTAAGGGAAATTCTATCTCATCTTATTTTATACTAACAGGGTTGCTAATTTGTAACTTTCACATGTATTAGTATAAATATCAAAGAAAGGGTCACGGCCAACACTTTAGGCCCCTCTTTTAATTTTTCCTCTATTTTCTCTTCTTTCTTACTTCCTTCCTCCTTCCTTTCTTTGTTCATATTTGACATTTACAAACTGCAAGTGTTCATACTATATAAATCTCGGTAGAAATGTTCTACCCTACATTTATGTGTTTTCAATAGGTTGCCCTTATGAATTATGAGGGACTTGAGAATAAATACATGAAACTACAAGACTGTTGAACAGATAAAAAGTAAATAACAAATAGAAGGTGCACCAACTACTCTTCACTTTCTCACTCCCACTACTGTATCAAGCCAACAGAAATAGTTTTTTCACTTATACTCTTATTAGCTGTAGCAAAATTATAGGCTGAAAGGCCTCTGTATCATGGAAAACCTGGAATGTGATTGAGGTCAAACAGTTTGGCTACCTCCTCATCTTTAGTCTTACAATTTATGATTGTCTTAAATTATGTTCATCAGTTCCTTTCCTTCCAAATACTCTAACAAACTGCAAAGGGGATGACACTCTATGTGAACTTCACACTGTGCCCAAGAAAATATAAATTGAAAGAAGGTCTGCAGAAGAGTGCTATTTTCTTCTTCAGTGGATAGCTGAAGTGTAGATTTAAATATCTTGGGATAAGTTCATTAAAGAAAAAACAGTAAGAGAGTAATTGTGATGTGAAGGGAGTCTCTGGAAGCATGCTATTTTCCTCTTCAGAACTCTTAGTGTGTATGTTATTGATTAACTTCAAGGGTGAAAATGCTTTATATGAAAGAAGTTGTTTAGGATCTTCATTTTAGTTTTACTTTTAGCTCAGTTGTTTTCTTTCACTACTGCATCTGCTTTCTTGTTCTCACTGTTTAGTTGTCTGTGAAAATTCTTGCAATCAATGAACCAAATATCTCAACTGAGTTAAATTTGATAAATAAAAAACTAGTAAGAGAGAATAATTATGATATGGGGTGTCTGCTGGTGATATTTTCCTCTCCAGAACTCTTTGTATGAATCTTACATTATAAATTTGAAGGATGAAAATACCTTATATCAGCACTTTCTTAGTGTTGTTTAAGATCTTTATATTAGTTTTTCTCTTGGTTCATTTGTTTTCTTCTCATAACTTCTCCAACTTATTGTAATCGCTGTTTAGTTATATGTAGATTTTCTACTTTATCCTTGTTTGAGTGAGGTATTGGATGTTTGCAGAGTGGACAGGAAACAGATTTTATTCTAGTTTCGTGTACAGGATTAGGAATTGAACCTAGCAGAAGAGAACAGGTTCTTAAAGCTAAGAAGGTTGGTGTTTCAACTTTTTGACTTAGGAATTGTTACATCAAGTTCATGAATTTCTGAGTCATCTACATGTTTGAACCTTTACCAGGCTGGAGAGGATTCACTTAGAAGATCAGGCCTTGGTTACACCATTGTTCGCCCTGGTCCTCTACAGGTATATCCTGGAAGCCTTGTTAAATTTCTTAAGAATAACTTGGGAACATGATATCAGTAGATTCATAAGAAGTTTTGACCATCTGAAAACTCAATGATTTTCAGATGATAGAGAGTTTGCTGCCTAAGTTCTGGATTACTGAATTATTAAATATTGGGGAAATAAGATTACTACTGTGTATCTGAGCAATAGTTTCATAGTAGATGATTCTATTTTATCATCATAACTTTGTATTTCTTAGACTTAACTGAAATTCTTGTTTTTCAACTAGATATTGCTTTCTATACATAACTTTACCTGCCTGCCTTTCATTCATTTTTCCTGGAAACAATTGTTGCATTATAATTCATAAATACAACAGTATTTATTTGGTCCGTGTTCCTTGTCAAAGCACATCTCCTGGATGCTGTTGCCGAGCAGATGGTAGCATGCCTACCTAATATGGTCTTTTTTTTTCTTTTTTAATTTTACAATGACAATGTATCTGACCCCAAATATTTTGGATAAAGGTTGAATGATAGAAATACTAAAGAGAATTTATTTGCCTGTTTTCTTCGGGACCATCCCATAATATCATTCAACAGAATAGTAAACAAAATGAAGAGTTACAAGTCTCTAGGAATATTGAAGAATCATTTAAAAGACACCATAGTCCAAGTAAAGAATTTATTATTTCTATGTTGTTCAAAAAGGCTTATTTTGTGTGAAGTTCTTCTTTCTCATCAAAATAACAGTTGAAAGAAGAATGAATGGAAGCTAACTGCAGAATGCATTAGAGAGGTTCGATAAAGGCTAGCAATGGTTTTTCTTATTACTAGGTTAGATTAAGGCTAGTAAACTAAACAACTTAACAGTAAATGAGAGTTATGCCTTTGTAATCTGTGTGTGTGTTCTTCTTTGTACATATTTTCATGTACTTTTATTGTTTAATGAAATCTGTAATCTTTCCTCTCAAAAAAACCTAACAGTAAGTTATTGTTAATCGATAAGATAAATTATCCAGTTTTCAGATCATGGAGGATTAAATTAAAGGAAGGTTCAATAGACTGTATTATTCATTTCATCTAGTTTTGTTTCTGCAAGAAATGTAAAATCTTTGTGCCACATAAACACTTTCTTTTTTTCCAGGAAGAGCCTGGTGGACAACGTGCTCTTATCTTTGACCAAGGGAACAGGATTTCTCAGGTAAGAGTGGATGTTCTTCCACATTAAGTGGATTGGTAAATAGTTCTATTCGTTCAAGCATCAATGTTAAACTAATCTTTCAATGCAGGGCATCAGCTGTGCAGATGTAGCTGACATCTGTGTTAAGGCATTGCATGATTCAACTGCAAGGAATAAGAGCTTTGATGTGGGTATTTTCTGTTCATTCCATTTTCTAGTTCAGTGGTCTATTAATTCTGTTGTGGGGCTGAGGAATTAGTGATTTTGACCAGGTATGTTATGAATATGTGGCAGAGAAAGGGAAGGAGCTCTATGAGCTGGTAAGGAATACGTTATTAGCTTTATGTATCAAGTTTGAATAGTATTTAAATGGCAGGATTCTGAGATGCCTCACTTGGTGCAGGTGGCACATTTACCTGACAAAGCAAATAATTATTTGACACCAGCACTATCAGTTCTCGAGAAGAATACTTGACTTCCTCTGGCAATTTTATTCGTTGCATCTTAATTCTTTCAGAGATCTTCTTGAATAGAAGTCCCAATTTTTCACAGCACTTTTGTGGCTATTTGTGTATGAGCTTCATGTATATTTTCCTCCAGAAATTGGATCTTTCAAAATTCCACCTTATGCATGCCCACGACGAGTGGATCAGCAAAATGTAAATCAGGTGATAAGAAGAAGCACATCCCCTTGATCAGTCTCCATTCAGTATATGATGAAAGACTGTTTCCTTCTTCCCATGCTGAGTAAAATGATGGAGGAATGCTCTGTAGTTTTAACAACTATGTAAAGAGAAAACTGCAATGGTTGTAAATTAGTGTAGATATATATTGAAATTTTTTTCTCATAACCCACTTTGGTAGTCCACTAGTTGGCATTTACAAGATCTTTCTTTTTTTTTTGAAAATTGGCATTTACAAGATCGATATACTTAATTCAACCAATATTGTATAGGTATCATTGGAAACTACAATTGTAAATAGAAAAAAAAAGTAATTATAACAACAGAAACAGTAGTCAAGGCTGTCCAGCAAGTTTTCTAATTGGTTGCATTCTGAATGATCCAAGAAACTTTAATAGAGCGAGTTAGTTTAGGGCTCAAAAAGGACCTTTAGAGTTCCTTTGCTCATTGTAGATTAAATAAAATAATTAGAGGGCCATTATTAATTAAAAATAGTTCCAATGTGTTATTGGAATAGACTTGATATGTTACGTGAAGTTCAATACATGATAATTTTAGGTGATCAACAATTTTAATACTGTGGGATTCAACTCAATAAGATAAAAAAAGAAAAGAGAAGACATTTTCTTGGTGCTAGTATCATATGATAAAATAGGATGTAAGATGTTTTCAAATTAAATAGTGGTCTCAATATGAGTTTTCAGAGAGTCAGCTGATACAAGCCGATGAAGGTTCCAAGTATCAGAAATGTAAGGAGAATTGGAAAGGCAATTTTGAGAGATATCCTTGGAAATGCATGGATATTAATATACACAGATATGCTAGGAAAACTATAATAAATCCTAAAAGTATATCAATAATGTATAAGTTTTAGATGATTAAAAATAAGTTATATACATGTAAGAAACACATTTTAATAGCTTATGTGAAGTAAACTATGAAAACACAATTGATAAACATTAAAGAGTGATGGAAGAACTAAAATATGTATCTTTATGAGTATATCTTAATTTTCAAAAACCTCCATGAACTTCTGGAGTCCTGCACTTTGCCTCTATCATTAACATTGTGTCAGTTAACTTCATTAAATATTCTATTAAACATTTCTGAAACCCCAGGCTACCTTTTTGTTATTTTATGAGATCATTTTGCCCTTTTGAATTAATTTTTCTAAAATCCTAACTCTCACATTTTTCTCTTAGATTTCTTTCAACAAATTTCTTGAGAATGCCTTGATCAGAATGATTAATTCATCAATTCCTTGAAAATAATATGTGCTTTAAAATGGTTGTTTTCATCATTTTGATATTATAGTGACCAGGCTAGTAGGGGCCTGAAGGGAGTTGCCAATATAAAAAGGAAAAGAAAAAAAATGGGGGGAGGGATGATCTTGGAAAACATTCTGATTTAAGAATGAGATTTTAGTCCTAAACCATCTTAATGACTCCAAAACTAATCATGAACTACCATAGGTAAGAATTAGGGTACAGGTGTGGAAGGGGTTAGGCACCACACCCTCCCAGAATCGAAATTCCAGCCTCTACTAATACCCTTTTTTTTTATCAAAAAGAAACTTTAAAAAGAAAGAGAAGTGTTCAATCGTATCACTTAAATGACTTATCAAATTTCCTCTCAACCTTTGGATACTATGGGCAAATTAAAAGAAAGAATTTCATCCTTAAAATTCCAGTTTCCATCCAAGTTTACATGCCTAAATGCAAGTCTACATGGCATGTCAAGATGCAAGCAAGAAGATAAAAGCATTTACTTCATTATAATTCTTACATGATGCATGAGCATATAAAGATAATCATAAGAGAAGAAGGAAATGCAAACAAGAAGACAAAAGTATTTAGTTCACTCTTCCCCATTCATTAGATCATACTCATACTTAAGTTGTATTAGCAATTCAACCCATGCAATTTGAATAGAAATTTAGTTAGGTTTGGACTGGCAAATTTGGGATTTGACATCAATTTGGTTCCATGCAAGGTCCATGTATAGGTTCCCTTGGTCCCATCAAATTCATCTGATATATACTCATGCTTTATTAGAGAGGGCCTAAAGGGACTCAAAAGTATTTATGAGAGAATGATGGATTTAATGAGGGAGGAGAGATGTTACAAACAGAGACTATAAGAAAATAAAGACATTATAGAGTTTTGTTGTGGATTCTTATAATTTTAACAATTTAATTTAAAAATAAAGAACCGCATGCGTAATTGTGTGAGAAATGAGAGGAGGAAATAATTGAGATAGCTGAAGAAAAGTTGAGATAGTTAATAAAAGGATATTATTAACAATTTAATCTAAAGATTCATGGTTTGAAGAAAAATCATGGGCAGAAATACTTGTAAGTTGGTTGAGATTTATGAAACTTTATGATGAGAGTTTAAGATACCTAATTTAAAATTTTCATCTTTTCATTTTAGTAAGTTATTTATTTTTTAATGTTCACGTGTGAAGAATGAGAGAAGGGGAGACTCTATGTGAGGCCTATGGTGAGAGACCCTTGGCTTTCATAGAGTCCTTTTTCTATCTACACTATTGTTAAATGTATGAATGAGAGCATGGAACTTTTGCTTGACTAAAATATCCCTATTTTTGAATTTGGTCCCCCTCTAATTGGGAGGGCAGAAAATGTAAATTGAATTACTACTTTCACCTTATTTAATTCCCTCTCATTAAGCTTTATATTTAAGTATTAATTCCCATCATCTTTCATTGAATCCTATTCTAGACTAAAATGCTCTTATCTTTTAATTTCGCCCCTCTCAAAATTGTGAGGGTAGAAAATGTAATTTGAACTACTTTTTAGCTTATTCAATTCCCTCTCATTAAATTTTATATTTAAGGTATTAATTCTCAAACTATCTCATTAAATCCTATCTTTAGGTTATTCCTCACTAATAAATTCTATCTTTTTTTCTTACTTCAAATAAATTTTGTCAATCATATCTATGTCTAATACTTTTAGCAATGTAAAACCCATGTTTAAAACCAACTGAAAAAATGACACTATTCTTTCATCCTGTGGTGGGTAAGTAATTCAGTTATCCAAGTCAAATGGGTCAATTCATGATGTCATAGTTAAATAATAAACTTTTAAAATAGTAATAGTACAATAAATTAAAAAAAATAAAAATTATAGGAAAATTGAGCACATCTCTAATATTTTATATTAAGCATACTAAAGAAAATTATAAATTGATAAATAATAATTGTTTTATTCATGTTGGAAATGAAATATAAAATTTAAAATCAGTCCAATAATTAAATTGCTTTTCTATTGTAGTGAGTAAATAGATCAAACGTGTCAACCCTTAATGTCATAATGAAATAATAGAAATTAAAAAAAAAATACATAAAACATAAAAAAGGAAAAAAATCTAATATTTTATATTATCATTTTAAATAAAAATAAGTGTGATAAGCAAGAATTGTTTTTAGTAATGATTGAAATGAAATACAAGCCGACCCAAAAAAAATCAAGTTGTTTTCCTATTTGCAGACCCCACAAATAGGGTCTACAAATGTGCCAACCCTTGATATCATAATTAAATAATAAAAAATATATAAAAACTAAAAAAACAAAAAAATTATAAAAAAGGCAGAAATTTTGCAGCAAATGTTTGGCACATCTCTAATATTATACATTCATCAAGTCAAGCAAAAATTAAAAGAAAATTGTAGAAAACATTTGTGTGCATCTCTAATATTTTATTAATCATATTAAAAAAAAGTGCAATAAAAAAGAATTGTTTTTACTGATGATGGTAATGAAATATAAAATTCAAAGCTAACCCAAAAGTAAAGTTGGCCTCATGTTTGGTGGTCCAAGTTAATAGTTCAACCTTTTAGGTCAAATATGTTAACCATTGATGCCACAATTAAATAATAAAAATTAAAAAGATATAAACACAAAAAAAAAGTTACATAAATCAATAAATTTTGTAGATAAATTATTTGGGCACACCTCTAATATCATATATTCTAAAATTCATCGTATTAAACAAAAATAAGTATGATAAATAAGAATTATGTTTTACAAAGAAAGATAAAAAGAAATTGTTAAAAAATTTGGAAACATATTAATACAATCATCTTCAGCAGCATCTAAAATTGCCATGTGCAAGGCATGTGCCCACTTACTAGTTATATATATCGATGGGTATGAGCCAATGAAAGGCTTATCCCTGAAACTATCTTCAAGGCAAATAATGAGGTAAAGAAAGGAAATTGACAAAGACTAATGCAAAAAAGAAAGAAGACCAAGTTGAAGCACTAAATCCCAATAATCTTCTCATCATACTTGTTCATTTTTATGCCCTCGACCCAGACATCTCGACCACAACTTTCAAGCTTTAACTCATCCCACATAATTTGGAGACTTGAAGTAGACCATGCAAACTAAAGACTTCGAAATGGCCGGCCTCAAGAAGCTCTTAGTAGATAGATCTCCTCTATGGGAGAGCTTCCACTCTTGCTTTATTGAGCATTGATCTTGTTCCTCCATTAAGTCTCCTAGCAAGACCTTTATTTATAGTGTTGGGAGGGCTAAATTTTTCAAAAGGGGAGGACTTGAACATGGCTATGTCAAGGTTAAAGCAAGAACATTAAATTTTAACCTCTTGAGTTTGAAGTAAATCAACTTTGGTTCAATTTAGAAAGGTTCTAGAGGTGTATTTGAGTGTGGAGGGTTGAATTCAACACTTAAAACAAGTTTTCCATGAAGAAAAACACTCTAGAGGAGGTAAAAGATCAAAAACATATATAACGTTCATGCCAATCTAGGCATGACTCTAATCCTAGATCAATCATGCAGCAAACTAAGATAGTCACATGATTATTGCTTGAGTTTAATGTGTAGTTTTGCTTTTTGTTTTTTGTTTTTTTTTTGTTTTTTTATAGAATGTGTAGTTCTCTTTGAATCAATCATTTTGACATATTATATAGGGTAAATTTCTTAAACTACCCTTATGGTTTACCTAATTGACTAAGTGCATCCTTACTGTTTGAAAATTGACTTCTCTACCCTTACTATTTCTAAAAATTGTCTAAATCTTCCAAGAGTCGTTAAGCATGGACAAAAAAAGTCAAATGTTCATTTTACCCTTCTATGAAATTAAATTTGTGTCCCTCATTATAACTTAACTCAAAGCCCTACT